ATAAACACTATGTCTAACTCAGTAAGGACTGCAGTACAGAAACAGTGCACATGCATGTTCACACTCAGCTTGAATGTTAAGCACGCAAACTCTGAGCACAGCTAGACACTTTTCCTTAGTCTTCACCTCCCATTCCAGACGGCGCTGCGCCCGCCTTTATCGCAGCAGCTGAAATGGGGAGATTAGATTATTCTCTTTCTCATTCCTCTAAGCTTGTTACCATGGTGATACCACGGTGACGGAGGAAGGTCCTCACCCGGAGACGGCTGTGCAGCTGACTGTCGTCACCTCAGGAACGTGAGGTCATTAATTTCCCTCCGGTAAAAGCTGCGGAGTGTTTTAGAACATTTTAAGGCACGACTTAACGACCATTTATGTGAAAGATCAAACACAGTCAACCGCAGCGGCAACGACTAAATAAATACACAACGAAAACCCAAAGCACACAAACCAACTCCCTTAAAGACTGCTTCCTGTGTCTGTATTGATTATAGAAAATTTACCAAAATTAAAAACATAATGGATCCTTGAAGCAGAGCCCTGGATACACAGTAAATGGATTTCATTTGGAAGTAATTATAAATAATGAAGTGCTGGTTGAGCCGTACTGCTGCAGTTTTGACAGCTGAAGTGATACAGCGATTAATCATTGAATAAAATCAGGCGTTCCGTGCTTTACAGTGATGGGACAAATATATTTGCTTCTGGAATTAAAAGAAAACTACAAACACATAAATAAATAATTAGATAAATAAAAATAAAAAGGTAGATAGATTTTTTTTTAGTAGTTAGTTCTGTCAGGTGAACCCCAAAAAAGGAGAAAACTAACGGTCAGTAAATAAACATAAAGGCCTCTGTCACAGTCCGCTTGTCGTGACATCCTGCTCCGGATGTAGCGTAAAGGAATTTCCGCCTGCAGAAGAAAATTAAACTAATTTAGTTGAACTTAACAATAAACGTCGTCAGTATTTAAAACTGTTTATTTAGACTTTACCATGTAGTCATTTGATTATTTTGTAAGAGACACTGCCGGTGTTCTGCCAGTCATGAGATTAACTAGCAGCACGCAGCTCAAGTTACTACCCCAGAAATCATCGGACTGATTTCATTTTATTTTTTATGTTATTTTGTTTATTTTTGCATTATATTCCCACCCATTATTTTCTACAGTATAATGCTATCCAATCGTTGCACTCAAACACGGAGGATATGACTCATTTACGATGATCAACCAGTTATTTTTTAATAATCATCTATGGGCTGAAAATATTCCTTTATAACTTCAATTTGATCTAATTATTGATGATTGCATCGTAAAGTAAGATCATGAAACATTTTTAGCATTGTTGTTTAATACAATAAATTTCCCTCAAACCTTTAATCCCCCCAAAATAGACTTTAGTTGTAATTAATATTTTAAGATTTGTCTAATTTTAATGCTATTTAATGTGATATGTTGTTTGTATTCTTGCAGTTCTGCAATAAAATAAGGTGATCAGACTCTGAAGTATTGTGCATACACAGAGTATAGTTTGAGCGCCCCCTTTTAAATCCCAAAATATGCGTCGGAACTGATGTTGGTGTCTTCAGAAGAAGTATCTGTGCTGAATTTTAAATAAATAAATCACAACAATCACGTGCTATGGGCACAACCATTGATACAGGTAGCAACCGAAGTTTTTTACGCTCCTAATTGAAGCTTCCGCTTTTCGAATGTGGAAGTGTGATAAAGGCCTTTTGAGATCTAATGACACAATTCTTAGGTGATTTATTTTTCCAGGACTGTCTTAAACATTAGGACTGCAATTAAATTAAACAACAACAACAACAACAATACCATACATGCTGGTTTCACAGACAAGGTTTATGCCTAGTCCCAGATTAAAATGCATGTTTGAGCTGTCTTAACTGAAAGCAACTTGTACTGAGATATCTTAAAATATGTCAGTGTCATTGTTTTGTCTCAAGATGCACACTAATATTTTTTATTTGCTAAGGCATGTTTATATAAGATACTTAAATGCCATAATTTAACTAGCTTACTCCTGGATTAATCTAAACCCTGTCTGTGAAACCAGGCCTTAAAGTTGCAGTAAGTGATTTCTGAAATTTTTTGTTGAACACTGTTGATATCTGAAATCAACCCAAACAAACACACCCCTCCCTCCATTGCTCCACCCCCAGTTGATGTCTCTTTATCATAGCAGAAGCAAATAAATCTTTGCGAAAAATAAATCGAAGATGACGAACGAATTGTTAAAAATGAACATACAGTACACGAGTATATACAAGCAAGAGTTCACTGTTAGTCGCCAGCAGCATAGCCAGGGAAAACCCAGACAACTTCCGGCAAATTTAGATTTGCTCTGAAAGTTAGTCTGGCAAAGAGCTCATTCAAGCCCATTTCCAATCCGTCGAAATCGAGGCACCAATCAGAAACGTTGGGGCGGGCTTTACACGATGACGACAGCGCTGGGATTTTGAAGCCGATTTTAGCCTACATTACAAAGATGGATGCCGCCGTCGAACATCACTCGTTCGAATCAGCTATCGCGTCTGTTTTAAGCGATTTAAACGTTTCCTTTTTGTTCAAAATCGAGCAAAGAACAACTCAGAGATGTTTCTCCACCGCTCTGCATACGTCATCTCCTTCATCGCTCTGAGTGGTTTTAGGTCTATCCGCGACGTCCGTTGGTGACGCCCCTCTGGAAATGATTTGTCTCTGACGCTTTGCCAGACCATAACTCAGTTACAACTGAGAATGGTCTGGTTTTAACCAGGGTACCAGCAGCACACACTCAAAACCAATGTTTCTCACGTATGGAGCAGAAACAACGAACCTCAGGTCTCTCTAGCGCTGGAAAGCTTTTATAATATCAACGCGGGTCCTAAAGCTCTTGCCTGATCATAACCCTTCTTTTTCCAGTGATTTCTCTTTTGTAAAGTCTCGCAGTCTTTCTTCAAATCCGCCCATTAGCACCTGCTACTAGATGGCATAGCTTCACCATCTGATTCCAAACAGCATGCTTTTCCATTAATAACCATTCAAAACTATCTGTGTATTCATGTGATGCTATTTTTGTGTGCAAATGCGCTATAAAGACCTGGTGATGAGAATCATAATATATTAATAACTTGGTGAATAAACTTCATTAGAATCAGAATTCAAATCAACTGCTATGAAATGTTTGATAATCAGCAAATATCTTGCCATCAACCACAATTATCATCTGTTTCTCTATATTTCATTAGTCTAGAATGTAAATAGTGTTATGCTGCATGTAGCCTGTCGCACTCAAACAGCCTGAGAAGCTTCTCTCTGTGCTTTGCTATAAGTGACCAGCATCATGCAGGCCCAGTAGGCGACCCATATGTTTTATCTGCCATTGAAATACATTTGATTTTTATAACACCGATGGTGCTGGGCTTACCTTAATGCCCTTCTCTCGCACTCCCTTTCTGTTCCATCCATAAACTGCAATCATTTACCCCAGCCTTTATCACCCTCATCTTTCTCTTCCTCCTCTTTACTTATCTTTCTCTTTATCAGCCTTCCATTTCTCTTTCCCTCTCCTTTCCTTTCTCCACCCATTGTATCGATGTGCACGTTCTCCGGTCTCTTATCACTCTTCTTTTGTCTCTCTATCCATATTTTCTCCTCTCCCCACATCATATTGTCTTCTCCACGTTCACTGCATTGAATCTATTTAGAGAGTTATTTATTGTCATCTACTAACATTAAGGCATTTGTCTAACAAATATCTACACATTCTTAGTTGGGATACTTGGTAAATGAGAATTCATGATGTGCATTCATAAGCACTATTATGCCACTATTCGGGCAGGAGAAGTTTTCTAAACCAGGACTTACAAACTTTCGTCATGGAACCCAAATATAAAGGTAGCTATAAACACCCATTTATACTGTGTAAGAAAATGTTAGGTGCAATATTTTAAAGACAACATGCTGTTTGCTAAATAATTGGCTTTTATATTGTTATTGAACTGAAGCCAACGTTAACTATTAGAGTATTATCTTGAAAATATTGCATTAAATAATCACTTTTCTACCCACTATTAGAGTGTTGTAAACAAGCTTGAAGAGTTTCTTTAATCAAATAAATGCAGCCTAGGTGAGCATAAGAGAAGTCTTTCAAAAACATTTAAAAAATCTTACCGACCCCAAACCTTTGAATGGTAGTGTATATGTGAAATTGTAATGATGTTTACAATTAAGGGAGAAATTAGTGTGAGAATCTCATACTGCTACTGCAATTCATGTTCTGACACAATTGACCCACCAAAAATTAAAATTTAGCAAAAGATTCATTCTATAATCAAGATAGAACAGGCAGCACAACAAGATATTTAGCTTTATTTACAGTCTTCAATCACAGACATTCCTATCCGGATAGGATTCAATTTCTCTAAAAACTATAAATATAAATTAAAAAAATATATAAATTTTCCGTCCAAATGACACATATACCAACCAAGCTGCTGCTATTTGCAAAAAGCACAGACCACATCGAGCAAACAGGAAATGGCTGGCAAATTCAGACCACAATAAGCAGCAGTATAGGGGGAGGTTACACTACTCAATTAGCGGATGTGGCCTGTTCGGTCAAGAGAGAGGAATAAAAGGGTTGACTGGAAGAGCGAGAGATTAAATCAAAGAAGAGTGACACATTTCAAGCGAAGCTAATATACAGCTAGAGCCGCAGACTGTTCTACTGTCAGTCAGACATTGCACTTTGGGGGAAGAGTGTAATAATTCTGTTTCTCTGAACAATACGTGAGTGGGCGTGATTGAATCTCAGTTTCAGTGGGCGGCTTGTGGAGGAGAGCAGATGACTGCTGACAGGCCGAGAGGAAGTGAGTGTGTGTTTATGAGCATCATTTGTGGGGAAGTGTAAACAAGTGCAGAGTGATTTAATGAGCAGCATGCACACAAACTCATGTGTCCAAATAGGATTTTTTTTTTGGCTGGTTTGCCTTACCTTCATCTCCTGATCCTGAACCAGCCTCTATAAAACACAAAAAGCAGATCATTAGATCAATGTCTTCTCCAAAGTCTTTATATCATTTTAGTGAATCCACCAAGGGTCAAAATTCACACAGGTTTTACTGCATGCAAAACTAATTTAGAAAGCATTTTCTAGTTCTTTATCATTCTTATGCATGCCGTTTATAAGTTAACTGAGAGACCACATGAAACAATTGTATTTAAAAAAGAAAAGAAAAAAAAGTCTAAACTCTGTACATGTGATGGACTGTCCATCTGTCCAGGGTGTTTTCCTGCCTACAGTCAGAGACTCTGGGATGGGCTCAAGCATCCCCGTAACCTTACATAGGACAATCCAATTGGAAAATGAAAGGATGGATGGATGGATGGACTAAAACATGTACATTATTGCTCATCTGGGTCTCTGGAGTCCGGGCATACTATTCTAATATACATTACAGATATGGTTCTGTGTACTTGAACTGTGGGAGGATCAAAGGTGAATATGTGACCCATTTGGCTTCTGTAGGCAGAAGTGGGCCGCACAAATGATACAAGAGGGAGATATTACAAATGCATTTACACTCAATTTTTTTATACTCTATTCTGCATTGTAGTCTAAATCGTTTATTTGCATTTTTATGTCTATTTTTAGCAAGATTTTATACAGCACAGTGGTCAACTACTGTTGTTTTTAATGTGCTTTATAAAAACATTTTGATTTGATAGCAAGATAAAACATATAATATACATCTTCAAAGTTCAAACACACATACACACAACAATTTACCTATCTATGTGTTAGATCAAGCATGAATACCATCCTCAATTCCTTAGACAGAATAAAATGCTCTATTTTTCCTTCAGATTTAAAAAAAGAACCACATTCACACACACAGAAGTTCAAACTGATTTATTTGCTGTCAGTTTTTCTAATTGCCTGACAGTTACGGTCTTGAATCAGAGACATGTCGTACACAATCTGTCTTTGACTATCTGAGAAATGCTCTCTGGCCATCTGGACATAAAACGCTCAGCTTTGGCTTTAATACAAAGAATAGGTCGAAACCTGTCAAAATACTTTCACCTGTAGCCTATATTTGATATGCTTGCACAACAGTATCACCTGTGTACATGTATACAATTAGAAAATATGACTCATATTAACTCACTAAAGCCTGGCATATAAATAATAGTCAGAAAAATATTTGTGTAATCAAATTATCTATTGACAATTTAGACAAATAATATGTACATTTATCACAAATAATTAATAAATATGTTAGCAAGAACATTATTAAAATCTAATTGATTTTCATTATAACAGAGAACAGGCTGTATACAGTATACATTAAATAATGTTTTGATGATCATGTTTTATTTTTTATGACTCGTCATGAAACTAATATCAAAGATGACTGAAATAAATATATCTAAATAAATATTAGAAAGCTATGGTTTAAATATGATATCTATATATGGCTTTATATGGTTAAAACGATTTAAAATATAGTCTACAATCAATAACTAAAGAAGTGTAATGCATAAAAATAAATCATCAATTATAATTTTCCATCCTTGTATTCAATTCAAAATTCCTGATAGAAACTGAAGACCTAAAAGACAAAAACATAAAAGCATTATACAGAACCAATGAATCTGTCCTGGAGCATTGGATCAAAAAAGTGGAAAACCTTCCACAGCCTCAAAAAATCATGAAGTTCCCTAGTACATCAAAAAGACTATTTCACAGTGTGAGGGTGGAAGTAAAGCGAGACGAACAGCCTGTTTCTCGGCACACTTCTTCCTGTGAGACCGGACTCTGCTGAGTCTGCGGGCAAGAAACAATGGCAGGAGTCTTATTTAGAGTAAGAGACCTGCTTCTCATTCAGAGATATCAGCGGGTTACGCATCTCCTCTGCCTTTGTCATTTATCAGGAAGAATGTGTGATGAGGTGACTTTGCACTTTTCCTTGAGCTCCCACGATGCCACGGGTTGAGCAAAACTTGAGCTTGTGGCTCAGAGGCAGATGGTCTCTGTCAGCAGAGACAAATGCAGCTGTGATTTAACATGCCACGGCCGCTGTTACAACACACAATTACCTATTTCAAGAACAGTACGCTTGACCGACATGGACATCATGTAACATCAGTACCAGGCACAAAGAATAATTGATAAAACAGCCTGTTGAGCTTGCAGTCCTCAGTTTATGTGAATGTTTTGAGAAAGAAATAGACATTTCTTGGAATATGAAGCATACTCCCTGCATGTAGAAAGCTACTTTAGCACTACGTGGAGTGCGATTACGCAGAAAGGCTATCTTAACCTCCATTTCTAATGTTGAAAATGAAGTGCCTACTCCTCTCTACAGTTACGCACCACTAAGCTAATGGCTAGCTGCCCTGTGCCGCACTGAAAACTCAATATAAGCACTGGCCCGTCTCCTTAATCAGTGCATTACTCACACTGATCTTACAGCAGCACAGCGGTGAACTCGCTACCGTTTGTGAGGTAAATAGTCCACTTATCAATGCCAGAAAAAAGAGAGAAGCATATACTAACCTCTGTGATACTTCACAAAATTTGGCACAGTGTCAGTGGAGCACATCAAGGACTCATTTCGGGAAACTAAGCAACACTCCAGTAGCATTTTAGTAGCCAAGTGTGATGGAGGAGAGGTTTGACACAGTAATGGAGGTGAAATAACTTAGTGGGACAAGGGAATAACAGGATTTCACCAAACAGTATTGGAAGTGACTGTTGGTGAATGGGATTACAGCTAAATTTAGTGACTAGTAACTTGTAGAATATTACCTAAACTTTTAATGCTTACAATACTTTGAATTGAAGGATTGTAACTGACAAGCACAATGGCGCTTTTGATGCAATTCAGCGTCATTCAACACATGCGGAATGGTATTCAGCACCACGGAGAGCACCAAACACAGTACCAAATCTGAAGACTTCTTTCAAAAACATTTAACAAATATTACTGACCCCAAACTCTTGATCGGTAGTGGACATACATATAAATGCATCTCTGTAAAGCTGTGTAATGTTTAAGCAATTGCAGACTGACTTAACTAAAAAAAAAAAAAAAAACTATGACAGATGAATGCTTTAACACATGACTGTCCATGTTTACATGCCAATGACATTTCTTAAAAGAAGAGCAGCATTTAATACTAAGAGTCAGACACAGAGTGGAAAATATGACATACTATAAAATTGTAATATGATGTGATATGCGGCCTTTAATACTTTCTCCGAAATACTTATTACAATCAATGTTCTATTTCCTGGTGCATGAAGGTGTTCACTTTCAGTTATGATATTGATGTATGAATGAAGACAGAGGAGCCAAGTTGCAACCAGCCTTGGAGAAATAAAGAAAATAGCAGAGTGTGATACACTTCACTTATCTCTGTAGGTCATCTTTCAGCCGCTGGATCATTTGCCAGGGAATTAGTGGAGAGGAAATCAGTGTCAAAGAGTTAGATGAGCTGGTACAAGCATCAGAACTGTGAGGCAGTCCATTTCTCTGTCTCTTTCCTCAATGCCCTCAGGGCTGAAAGTGTGAAAAACTCATCCGGCTGCGGGGATATTATTTTGGTCTAACATAAAGCTCTTTTGGGACAGAAATCATTTAGGATTTTTTTTTTTTTTTTGTTCAACCACATAATTTAATCCTTGACATAATGATGCATGTAAAATGCACTATTAAATCTGAATTGAACATAGTCAGAATTTCAAACATCAAACATGAAAGTCAAGACATTTATAAAATTACAAAATATATATTGTATCTTCACAATATTACTGTTTTTACACAAATAAATGCAGCCTTGGTGAGCATAAGAGACTTCTTTCAAAAACATTAAAAAAAATCTTCCCAAAACAAACTTTTGAATGGTAATGTAAATAACTTTATAAAAAAATATAAATAATTTAAGCAATTAAACCCCTGACCTGTACGACGTGGATTTCATAATAAGGATTGCAAGTCCGCAGTCACAGCATTGTAATGTATTTAAATGATCTTCATTTAGGAACTTAACTTGTCTCTGCAAAAATATATGTAGTTAATTAGATTACTCAATAGCCAAGGAAACAAAGGAAATGAAGAAATATTTACAAAGTGCCAAGCTGTTACAGGCAATTCAGAAGAACTATTGCCCGATTTGTGAGGTTCATGGAATCAAACCATAGAAAGATATTTTTTTTTTTAAAAACTCAAGTTTTCTGAGACACTTTGGAAGTAAACAAAATCACAACTGCAATTGTAGATTTATTTTCAGATTTATATCCATGAGGTACTTAAACCGGACTGGTCTGATGTACACTCAATGCATGAACATAAAGAGTGAAATAAAAGCAAAAGATGACAGGAAAGGGTTCAGAGAGAGAGACAGCCAAACAGAGATGATGAGAGATGATTCAGTGGCGCCATTCAAGCATCACAGAGACAAAGACTTGTTTTTTTGCGGCTTGTTTCAGTAAATTAGCTTTTTACCTTACAGAGCACCTACAGACAAGTACATGCTCGAACATTCAGGAATAAATGAGAACCAACATCCTGCTGGGATTGAATTATGACTTTACCTGCATACACACAAACAGGCACACACGACGAGAAGAGAACATTTCATTCTCTGGATGCTCCATAAGCACAAATACTCGCCTCCCACACTCTCTCTCCTCCCTAGAGAACATTTTTAGAGGTTTCAGTGTTTAGGCACTGTTTAATGGAGTCTGACTCAGCAACTCCCAGAGCACCAAACATCTGCTTTACTCTCTGCAATATACCATTAACTGACCACAGAGCACACTTTCGCTCGTATCATTTGGTTTTTGATTTGCCTTAAACATGCAACACCCATTCACAATCAGGAACATAATATAAAAGGAAAAAGGGGGGTGTTTATCTGAAATCATTTCTAACAACAATCCAGTCTTGTGAAACAGCATTCATGCCTTAAAAAGCTCAGAATGCAGCTTACTAGGTTTTAAAACGAGGTTAGCAAAACTTTACACAAAACAGTAATACACAGCTCTAGCCTGTTAAAGGCATTATAATTTATGGGTATTGTCTGACTTAAGTATAACATGTTTAACACAACACAGATATGAGTCTCTGTCTGTTTCAGACCACAGGGATGAATACATTGAAATTCTGCTCAATCTGATAACTTCATACTCACAGTTAATACATGTAATTGGCAAATGATTAGGCTGTGGATTAACTTTCAAGAGACATACGCACCAAACCCACGACTGAACGTACCAGCTGGACAAGATCCTTCAGAAACCACCAGGATCTCGGTTTGCTGTTTGCAGGCGTCTCTCCGCAGAAAACACTCGTTTTCATAGTTTTCGTTGTTGGAGCCACACACAGGAACATAATCGTTGTTGCACTGAAAAAGAAGGGATTTTAAGCATTAGAAAATATATGAGAACAATATTAGATTAAGAAAACATGGGGCCAAAATTCAAGTCAAAGGTTACAAGCATTAGTAACAAAAAACATTTGGATAAACACAATTATATATTATAAGTTTTTAGTATTACAACTATCTGATTATGTTATTTGTATCATTTAAATATAATACAAATCAATAAATAATAAAACATTCATTGAAACATACTTGGTATTAATATTACGAGTAGTTTTAAAACATATATAATAAAATACAATTCATATTTTATGTAAGTAGCATGAAATGGGAACAAAGGAGTCTTTCTTTAAGAACATGTTATATTGTATTGCAAGAATGATAATTAAGCATGAAACTGACCTACATATCTCTCACAGCTTAATTGTGATGTTTTAGCACCGCTTTATTTTGGGAGTTTTAGATGAGCTTACAGCAGAGAATAGAATTGTGTGATCTGAATGCGAATTAAGCTACTGTGAGCTCCGAAGGGTCGAAATACAGTCTGCCAACTACACTGCCCACGTTCTCAAAGCAGTGGAAAAAAAGATTACAGTGTAAGAAAACGCCAGGGAGGAATATATCACAAAATTCCGTGAAACATTTGCAAATTTATGGTTTCAGGTTGTTTGGTTATAAAAGGTTTTACTTTTAAAGAGGAAATTTAGGTTTGCACAATATAGACAAAAATGTTATCCTATATGCTATTGCAGACTTTTAAACTGATCGGACAGAAATAACAACAACAAAGTATTAATTACACATCAATGTGAAAACAAATATTTTTAATATTGGCCATAACATAATGAATAATCTAATTAATTCAGATTTAATTGATTAAATCTGTATCAAAAATAATTTTATCATCAGTTCATCCTCAGAATTATGACAAACACAATTATTCAAAAGAAAAGACAAAATAAAATCTACTTCAATGCACCAAAAAACTCAAATATTCCAGTGAATCTCTTTAAAACCCACTAAAGCTTGACTTCATGAGAAGCAGGTAGCTCAAAATCACTGGGTGGCCTGGTGGAAAATGAAGCTGTTCCAAACTTCACGCAGGTATTTTGGAAGAGTCTGACCAGACCGCACACACATATGCACCTGGACACACAGAGACACACTGTGTCTGGTCGGGCAGGCAGGGTCTGTCTGGCCCCTGGGGAGGCAGGTACAGTGCAGGGCTGCAGTGGCCTGTCAGCTCACATGTTGGCTGAGGGACTGTGTGGCTGGAAGCCAGCTGGTTGGCAGGGGTCACAGGAATAACTGTGCCCATCGATTCTGGAGCGGGATTTGTACTCGCTGTTTTATCGGCTGAGAAGCAATATTATGCAGGATGAGAAAGCTCTAAGCCAACACTGGCAAGAGATCCAGAGAGAGTGGAGTGAAATAGGAGGAAAAATGGAAAAAATAGGTCTACATGAGATGATTATACTGAATGAATAGAAATGAGTGGAATACAGCTAAAAGGAAAAAGACAGACATGAATGAATATATAGATTTGATTGCCACATATAGAATTTAAGTTAATTTTAGAATTTAATTTTTTTATATATATATATATATATATATATTATAAAAATGTGTGTGTGTGCATTGTGTTTAAAAACACAAGAAGAAGGTTGGGGGAAGGAAAACAATGCAGTCTATGGATACGTAATGTAACATTTTTTTACTTGCACGCCACATCTTTGCAAAGCACGTGAAACTCTGTCAAACACGTCCTTCTAGCGCATGTATGCATAGAAAATCAATAGAAAAGTATAGTGCAGCGGAATGCACAAATAAGTTCTGTGCGAACGGCTCCTGAAGCTGTTTACACTGGAAGTGTCGAAGCAAACGATCCAAATCCATTTGACCTTTGTGTCAGAAATGCAAGAGCGTGTAGGAAACCAGAAATAGAATGGGTCATCTGTTTACTGTTGGTGACTTGTTGCGTTGCAAAAGACAGTATCCAATGATTATAATGGGTTCTGTTTACTACTGAATCGTCGCTCGCATCTGGTGTAGACCCCATTACTTTGTTTGGTACTATTTTTGTTGGTCAGTCAAAGCAAATACAACCCGCAACCAATTAATTAGTTCCCAAATTAATCAGTGATTTTGAATGAATCAGTCAAGTAAATAATTCAATGACTCATTCAGAAAAACACTCACTGTAGTTAATTATTGTAAAATGTTATATATGAATAATGGATGGATTGATATGACAAAACATTCATATATGGGGTTGGTGTGCCGTAGTGGTTAAAGATCTGGGTCGATAACCAAAACGTTGTAGTTTTGAACTTTGCAAGGGCCAATCTTTGATCTAATGCCCTTGAGCAGTGACAGATTTGTTTTCAAAAAAAAAAAAAATCTCATTCAACTAAGGTCGAATGCGACTTGAGTTCTCTTTGATAAAAATAATCCACAACTAGCACACCTGAGACGGAGAGTGTTAGAAAAGACTGAGTGACAGTAAAATGCAACCGAGACACACTCGAACAGAAAAACAGTGAAATCTCAGAAGAGCAAAGCATTGAGATGATCTCGAAATAAACAGAGAAAAAATTTGAGGAGTAGGAAGAGAGAGAGAGTGAAATGGATATTATCCACTCTTAAACCTTTCCCTTTTTTGACATTTTTACAGCTTCAAGTGTTCAATCAATCTTTTGGGCTGGCATGATGCAATAGTGAGAAAGGCTGGCCAGCCACAGGCAGCCCCCAGCATGCCCAGAGAAATGCCTGTTTTGCAGAGCCCCTGCGGTTTAGTCCTTTTAACTTTACCTCTTGAGGGGAAGGAGTGCATTAGCACTTCATCTTTGAGGAAAAATAACTGGTGATTATGATAGAAAAGTTAATTGAAATAAATTGAGGGAAAGCAATGAGTCTCTGACACACTAACAGTTAAATGAGCAGACACTTCAGCTACAACAAAAAAACCCAGCTTTTCACTTGCAGGTCAGAGGAGTAGGATTGAAGAAGTAGCATTATGATGAATGAAAGGACCTTGAAAAAGCTGAAAAGCATGATGATAGATATAGTACACATATACCTGTCCAATTCCACTGCAGAAAAAGTTTGATCATTTCAAAGTTAGCCATGACAAAAAAATAGCATTAGACAAGCCTTTTCTTGTTTGCAGACAACTGAATTACGCAAACTACACAGCAGTCCCAAAATGTCTAATGCGCCGTTCACACTGGTGTTCTTGCATTTAAAAAGCTATGGACCGAAACGGGATGGAACAAATATGGAATAAAGATAATGATGACTCATCCTGCACTACACAGATTTGTGTCCAATCAGATGAGATCTAGAAAGAGTATGACCCAACCCCCTAAATTATAAATATCACCTGCAACTAACTAGCAAGTAGCAAATCATGGTTCACAACTGTGATGTATAAAACCAAAAGATACTGGCTATCCGTCTGCCTCCTTATCCACCTTAGGCTTCAATACAGAAGTAAGCTTTTTCCTGAGACTTCTGATTTATTATGCAGTTATAGATTAGAAAAATAACAAAGTCCAGTGAACAGGAAAAAAAAATACATTACAAAACTGAGTGTTTGTTTGGAAAAAGTACAACTGCATTTAAAAAGAATAAATTTCATCTTTTGTAATGCATATACAGTATAAAAGGAAAGTGAAGAAATAAGCATGTTTGATATATTAAAACTTTTGTGTATCATCTATTATTTGAATTATTTAATTAATAGGACACTTATGTTTTTGAAGAAAACCATTAATTCCAATACAGGTCATTTCTCTTTATGTATTCGTGTAGGTTTTTTGGTTCCTGCATTCTAGGGTTAACTTAATACAAAGCGGGGGAGAAAAGGAAACAGTAAGGGACACGGTGAGAGAGGGACAGGCATAGAAAGGAGCAAAAAGACCACAGAGATAAAGAAACATGTAAGTGACGAACATAAGGCCAGACAGCATGTGTTCGAAAGCAATCTAACGCAATGAGCCTCCCAACAGAGGCCAGATACACAAACACTCAGGGTGGAGGTTGACAAATGTCTTCACCCAAAAAAAACAAAATGACTCACAACACAATTTGGCTCTTAAGTACCTTTAAGTCAAGTCAGTTTACTGAACTGGCATCTCTGTAACACTGTAAAAGGTATGCAAAGTTTTAAAGATCAAAGTGCACGACAAATAAAGATACTGTCTCCTAAAAGAAAGAATAATTCTGGACTGCCGAAACAATTCATCAGCAATTCCAGTCTCACTTCCTGTTATGTAGGCTACCTATGTAACAATGTAACAGATTTGCATAATGCCAGGCTATGGTCTTCATTGACTGCCTGCGAACAATGTCTACTTTGACCCGCCTTCAAATACTGTAGTTGCTGAGGCCTGGGAAAGTTTGGTTAGTGTTGTCAACAAATGCAGAGGAGACGCTCTTTTCAGTGCTGCAAATCTACTTTGCATGCACTTCAAAAGGATGAAGGCTGGAATTGATATGGAAAAACTGATGCCATCATTCCTGTTCGTATCACTGTGTATCATGCGCTGAGGAAGCCTCTGGAACAGAAATTGTGATATGGTAATGATCGTTCTGTCTCTAACTCGTGCTATAAGCGGTCGACCAATCACAACAGACTGGGCCGCCTGACCAATCAGAGCAGAGTAGGCTCTCGGAAAGGAGGGGTCTACAGAGACTGAGGGCCCTATCTTGCACCCGGCGCAAATGACTTTGTACACTGACGCATGTATCATTCCTATTTTGCACCCGCGCAAAGCGGGCTTTTCCCTCCACAGACGCACGTCGGTAAACTAGGAAATGAACTTGCGCTCCCTGGGCGGGTCGGCGCAAAAAGGAGGCGTGTTTCGGCGCAAACATTCCCTAGTGCTATTTTGCAGTTCCAGAAAACAATTCCGCCACTGACCAGAAAAAACCTAGTCTAAAGTCAGTGGCGCGTTGCGCGTTGTTCATAATGCTATTTTCGGATGCCCCAACGCCTGTGAAGAGAAGACCAACGCCTG